CACTCAGGGACCGCTATGTGAGTGATGCTCAGACGCCCCCGCCCCCTGGACCGCGGGCCCACCGGGCTCGGAGACACCAGACTTTGTCCCGAGGGGCCCTCGCGTCCTAGCGTCCAGCAGGCACATCTCAGATTTCAGGGTCCACAATTGTGACCACGACCTCTTCCCGGAGGCCCGGGTGGTCAGCTCATGCACGGCCTTGGTGCGGGTCACAGAGGGGCGCCCCCTCCAGGCGGACTCGGCTCCACATCCGGGCACAGGCTCCGCACGGGGAGCGCAGGTGCCTTTCAGCCCCACTCAGCCAAAGGCGCGCTGCCTGGTTCGGGACACGATAAGCACAACCGTCCCGGCCAGTTCCCAGCCACGTCCAGGAATCTCCGACGTCCCAGCGCTTCAGGGGCCCTTGCCAGGAGACTCCGCGTCACCCCAGCCCTTGCCCCGCAGGAAGAAGAGACGATGAGCTGGAGGCCGCGCAACTGCTCGTTCCGCCGGAGGAGGGACCCTCCGCGGCCCTCCGTGAGGCCCGAGGGCGGCGGGCGGGGTGGGGGTGGAGTGGGGGAGCGCGGGCTGGCGCGCGGCCCCGTCTAACTCCCGCCGGGTGCCCGCAGTCCCGTGCGCTGCTCCGCCAGGTGGCCCGCGGCCTCGCCGACGCCCAAGACGTGCTGAGCAGCCTGCCGAGCCCCGAGCTGTTCCCCGGCGTCGGCCCGACCCTGGAGCTGCTGGCGGCCGCGGGGCGGGACGTGGCGGCCTGCGTGAGTGCGCCGCGCCCTGGCCGCGCACCCGTCCCGGCTCGCTCTGCGCCCCTGGTCTCAAGGCCAGGCCCCCCGACTGCGAATCTGTCCCATGAGGCCAGAAACGGGCGCAGACACGATTCACGTCCTCTCGGTGTCCCCAAATCCGGGCTTTGGTCTGCGGCTGGGAGGGGGAGGGGTGGGGAGGCTTGGTTCCCCGCCGCCTTCATTAACCTCCTGTTCTCCCTCCAGCTCGAGCTGGTCCGGCCAGGCTCCCGGAGGAAGTCCCTGCGGCGGCCCAGGAGGCGTCCCCAAACTCGCACAGCTGTGAGTGGAGCAGGCGGGAAAGCGGCTAGACGGGAGCCCGGCTTGGAGCCGTGAGGGTCTGGAGGGGGGTCTTTCGGGGAAGGAGATCCCTGACTCAGCCCCTGTCCGCCTCCTTCCCGGGCTGCAGGACTCGCCTCGGTGCCACGAAGCCACCGTCATCTTCAACCTCCTGCGCCTGCTCGCGTGGGACCTGCGGCTGGTGGCGCACTCGGGTCCTTGTCTGTGATCCCGCCGCGGCTCCGCCTGGGACCCGAAGCTCTGGGGGCGCCTGGTTGCGGACGCCGCCCTCCTCCGTGGCCCCATCGGACCAGGCGGGTCTCTCAGCCTGGACCCGCCGGCGCTGGTGCCAGAGGCGCCCTTTTCCCAAAGACCACAACGAGTTCCGCCGCAAGCAGCGATATTTCCGCGGGAGGCGTTGCCCTAAGATCTTCCAGGGCCCGGGCCGGCAGGAAAAGACTGGAGTCCGTGTCCGCCTTGGTCGCTGACCACCACGTACCATGGACCAGTTTCTACTTCTGTGGTTACAGGAACAGCCCTGTCTCATGACAGGCCCCAGCCCTGCTTTGAACCTTCAGTGCCCGCTTTGCGATTCCATGAATATGTGACTCTTGGACGTCCCCGCTGGGGAAGTCTCTTTCGCTGAGGGACTGGGTAGTGAAAGGGCCAAAAGTCCTCTGGATAAGTGGTTTTTTGAATTCCGTTACTTAAACGTGTTTTGTATTTATGAAGTTCCTGTGTGTATTTGCCGTTCTGTCTTCTGTTGTTAATTTATTGCGAATCATTAACTATTTTTGCATTTCTGTGGGTTGTTTATTCCGTGATCATTTTGAGGGGGGCTGTTCAGCACAAAATGCTGAGACAGGGAAATCAGGTGACCTGAGTTTCAGTTCTGCCCCTGCCACTTAAGTGTTGCGTGTCTGGGCAAATTACTTCTCTCTGAGCCTCAGTTTACTCATTTATGCCGTGGCATTGTTACACTTCCCTTGCAGTGAGTACTATACATTGAAATAATGTTTCTGAAGCTTCCAGCTGAAGCCACAGAATGGCCTTAATGATTGGTCTCCATTAAATAATCACACACGTAAGTGCAGAACAATTGCACTTTTAAAATTTGTCTGCATCTGTGGATGGGCAATCTTCGTGGCCAACTGCAAAGCCTGTTTGCCAAGGTCACACAGCTAGAGAGGGTCAGAGCCAGGTTTGAGCCCCAGAGTCTAGCTCCAGCTCCCATGCTCCTAACCACTCCCCTGAACTTGCTTTCTAAGAGAAACAGTATGACGTTGAGGGATTTTGAGATAATTTGTCAATTTTCAGGATTCACAGTTGTTGCAATGTGTCCTCCCCTGATGTAAGGCCGATGCAATTAATAGAAACTGACCAGAAAGAACACTGGTAGGTGACTTGGGCACATCCCTGCCGTTGCTTTTATTTTTAAAAAAACATGTTTATTGGGCTTCCCTGGTGGCGCAGTGGTTGAGAGTCCGCCTGCCGATGCAGGGGACACGGGTTCGTGCCCCGGTCCGGGAAGATCCCACCTGCCGCGGAGTGGCTGGGCCCGTGAGCCATGGCCGCTGGGCCTGCGCATCTGGAGCCTGTGCTCCGCAACGGGAGAGGCCACAACAGTGAGAGGCCCGCGTACAGCAAAGAACCAAAAAACATGTTTATTTATTTTGGCTGCTCTGGGTCTGAGTTGCGGCATGCATGCAGGATCTAGTTCCTCTACCACGGATGGAGCCCGGGCCCCCTGCACAGAGTCTTACCCACTGGACCCCCAGGGAAGTCCACCTGCTGTTACAGGTGAACCTATCTGCAGGGCAGGAATAGAGACGTGGACCTAGAGAATGGACATGTGGACAGAGTGGGGGCAGGGGAGGGTGGGACGAAGTGGGAGGGTAGGACTGACATATATACACTACCAGGCGTAAAATAGCTAGCTAGTGGGAACCTGCTCTAAAGCACAGGAAGCTCAGCTCGGTCGGTGCTCTGTGACGACCTAGATGGGTGGGGTGGGGGCGTGGGAATGAGGTCCAGGACGGAGGGGATATAGGCATACATATGGCTGATTCACTTCATTGTACAGCAGAAACTAATACAACGTTGTAAAGCAATTATACTCCAATAAAAAAAATTTCTAAAAAACGTTACGTATCAGAGCTCAGAGACATTCCCAAATGAGGACTTTGGTCCACCCTCTCCCCGGAATTATGAATGAGGGAAAGAGGGGGTGGGAGTAATAGTCAAAAGGACTCCACACCTTCTGTTCGAGACGTCCATTACCTCCGAGTCAGGAGATGTAGCTACACTGGGGCTGTTGAGTGTAGTGGTTACTCTCTGGTGTCAGACAGAACTCAGTTAATATCCTGCCCTCACCACTTATTTGCTGTATGACCTTGGGCAAGTCTCTTAACCCCTCTGAGTCCCTGCAGTTTCCTCTGTATTTGCAATGTAGGCAAAGCACAGGATGTCCTTGGTGCTACCATGAGTATTCAGTAGCACGTTGTGAGGGAATTCCCTGCCGTTCGAGTGGTCAGGACGCTGAGCTTTCACTGCCGAGGGCCCGGTTCAATCCCTGGTCGGGGAACTGAGATCCTGCAGGCAGCGGGGCCAAAAACAACAACAACAACAACAAAGAAAACAAACCATATTGTGGCAGAGCCTCTGTGAACAGGGTGAGACATGTACAGGCTCACAGAAGGAGGGGCGTGTCTCTGTTTCTCTTTTTCACTGACTGTTCCCTTTTCCTGGAAGGCTCCCCCTCAGATGTCCACAGAACTCCCTTCCTCACTTCCTTTAGGTCTTCCCTCAAATGTCATTTCATTACCTTATTAAATACAGACTTCCTCTCGCACTCTGCTCTCGTCCCTGCTTCACTTCTTTCATTTTCCGTTATCTGACTTTACCTAACGTAATACATACCACATGCCTAATCCCCGTGTCCCAGACAGGTACTATCTTGTACCTCTCTCTAGTAAAAAGCCCCATGAAGGATTGTTTCATGTCTTTTCTTTTTTCAGTGCTCTCTTCCTGGCACCTTGAGCAGGGTCTGACCCAAAGCTGGGGTGGGAGGGCAAATAGGTACTTGGTGAATGAATAAAGGCATTTTTCTCAACCCCACCTGATTTCCCTGAAGTACTGGTCACAGCTCAATTTCATAGCACATCCTCCTATTCCTGGGTCCTTGTGTGCCTGACAGTCAGAGAGCAGGTCGGTGCAGGCTCCCGACCTCCCCCACGCTGTGTCTATCGGTACCAGGTGGGGAAGGGTGGGGAGCAGCTGGTGTCCTCTCTGAATTCGCGAGTGTTTTGCCTTTCTCCCTCTCCCTGCCACCCGCAGCAGCACCCCTGGACCTTCTGCCGTCTCCCAGACAGCCTCCCTCTTGGAAGTTCCAGGCTCTTCATGGCAACACCTCCTACAGGTGCCTTTTCCCTCTACTCCCTGTACTGGGGCCTCTGCCAAAAAGGAAGTCCCTCTGTCCCCTCCCCACCCCAGTCCTAGATCAGCCTGGAGACCCTCCGTGTGGGGCTGAAGCTGCCCCAGCCCTGATTTTGACTTCCTTACTCACTTTCTTGGAGGTGAAATGGGACATGAATCCATGTCAGTTTCTCTTTCCCTGAGCAGCTCACATGGCTCCCAGGCCCCGCCCCGCTCTGGGCTTTCCCAGCGCTCGCCTCCCCTGTTGCCAGTGTCAGCCTCTAGCTGTGTTTTCACTTTTCCTACATCAGCTGGGATTGCCCAGCTGCACAGGCTAAAAGCTGCGCCATGGAACTCAGGCAGGAATTACACCTGAGACGGAGCTGGAAGTTCAGAGACACGGACAGAGCGGCGAGCTGAGATCCAGAGGAGGAGGCTGAAGTCAGAGACGCCAGACGAGACTGAGAGACCCCAGGCGGCAGCCTCAGAGCGGACACTTGATCCCCCATCTGCTGCAGAGACCAGAGAGCAGGAATGAAGCTGGGTCAGCCTCCACATCACTGTCTGGGACCCTCGCCTCCCCAGAGCCTCCCCCTCCCCCCCGCGACGCCCTCCCTCCCCTCACCTTCTGTCCTTCCTTAAAACAGACCTGGCCCCCGGCTGCACGCTGGTGCTGGTGCTGATGACCGTGGAGCCGAGCAGGACAGGAGCGGTTCCTGTGCCCTCACCCCTCGGGGCCCTCCCAGGTGCAAGGGGCTGCCACATGGCCCAGTTCAAGTCTCTGTCCCCACAAGAGCTGCAGGCCTTCAAGAGGGCCAAGGATGCCTTTGTGAGTCTCCCCCGACCCCTCCTGCAGTGGGCGACCCTCCACCCCTCCCTCTGTGTGCTCCCAGGCTACCTGGGCTGAAGGTGGGCCTGCCCTCCCCGCACTGGGCTGACCTCCACCCTCCCCGCGGTGGGCGATCTCCTGTCCTCCTGCGGTGGACGTGCCTCTGCGGTCCTTCTGGAAGTCAACCTCCCGTCCTCCTGTTGTTGGCCATCCTCCAGTCTCCCTGGGGTCTTCCCTCCGTCCCTCCCCCTGTGGGCTGACCTTGCCCTTGCTCTCTAGGAAGAGTCGCTCTTGCAGAAGGACTGGAACTGCAGCTCCCGCCTCTTCCCCAGGACCCGGGACCTGAGGCAGCTGCAGGTGAGTTGGGGGAGTCAGGCCTGCCTGCCCTCACCTGCC